GGACACCAAATCTGTCTTTCTCCTTTTGGCACTGAATCGGAAGGCAAATGCAAGAGGTGAGCAAAGGATGAAAAGAAGAAAGTTGACGTGACGCAGCCACACATGCTTAAGAAATGCAACGCAATGTGGGTGGCGTGGACCTAATTGATCGGTATATCTCATACTATTCAATTTCTCTCCGAAGGTGCAAGTGGACTGCGCAAGTTTTTGCACAATTTTCAGACCTCGCGTGCTGCAACAGTTGGATTCTATACCAAGGAGACTGCGAAAGGGCGCTGACCCCCCCAAAAAGAAAGACTTGACCTTCTAGAATTCAGATGTAATATAGATCAACGTACTCATCAAAGCTGACACTGAAAGGCTGCTAAGGTTGAGCCAGAGTTCAGAGATTGTAGAGCAGCTATCACAGAGTGCAGTAAAGTGGAGCAAGATACCTCCCTTACACCTGGTGAGGTGCGTTTTCACCAGGTTGGACATTTCGCTCAGCATGAAAAGCTTTCATTTCAAATGAAGTGCTGTTACCCCAGATGTGGTGAAAAATCAAGGGTCGGATGCCTAAAATGTGATGTCTTCCTGTGTTCGCAGAATCGCAACTGCTTCCTCACGTATCACACACGTTGAGACCTGCAGTACCCAAGCGGGTAGCATCAAATTTTCATACAATTGTTTAATTTTCTTCACTTTGTAATTTTTCCGCGTTCATTTCTATGGGCAAGAAGCCAAATAAAAGATTTTCACATATTTCTTTTCTTCATTTCTGCCTTCTTGGGACTGAAAAGGTTATACATTGTTAAAAATAACATTTGAACAAGCATTATTAAACATGACATGGATAATATGGGTACATGATTCTGTGATATATACAAGCTATTGGAATGATGAAAAGGACATCCATTGATTTTTATTCTAAAAAATGATGAGATATCTCTTGTATGAATGTGGGTGCACTGGTTAGGATGACAATTTGGTGAGGCAGGCTGTTCCAATCTGTGGCTGTAGAGAAAAAAAAAAACCTGAAAAGGTAGTAGTATGTGTGCGGGGGCAGCCCACTTGGTTGATGTGCCCAGTTCGATGCGACGTTCGATCAGCGGGAATAATATATGGTGGTTGAATAAATGACCAATAATAAAACTTATCAAAAAGATATAAGGATAATACACGGCGACGAGAAGCAAGGGTAGGCAGCCCCAAGTTCTTTTGCAACGATGACACGCTCACATGTTATGAGTATTGAGAGTGTTTGAACTTCACAGCACGGTTTTGCACGGTTTTAAGAGCGTTGCTTAAATATGTTTAGCAGGGGCTCCATACTGTGCATGCGTATTCGAGTTTAGGGCAGATTATGGTTTGATAGGCTAGTAATTTGGCATGATTTGGAGCTTGTTTTAGGTGGCATTTAAATAAACCAAGTGCCTTATGTGAAAATGAGATGACGTTAGTAATATGTGTATTCCAAGATGAATGATTAGTTAGGGTAACACTGAGGTATTTGTATGAGAGCAAAGCTTCTAATGATTTATTGATTGACTTTGAATAGAACAGAGGGTTATGTCAGTGGCAGAATGTCACAACTTTGCATTTAGCAGGGTTTAAGTGTCATTAACTAACAGTCACATCATTGTTATAGATGGTTAATATTTGCATGAAGAGAAATTTTAGATGTATCAGTAATGGTTTTGTAAATGATGCAGTCATCCACAAACATGAGAATATTATAGGTTACATAAACAAGTAGATCCTTAATATATAGTATTAAAAAAAGGAGAAGCCCAAGAATAGATTCTTGAAGAACTCTGGAAGTTAATTGCTGGGAATCAGAGGTGCTTTTGTTAATAATAAAGACAAACTGTGAGCGGTTATTAAAAAATGCTTCAATCCACCGTAAGATTTCGGGGTGTACATTTGCCAAAGATAGTTTTAGAACCAATTGTTGATGTGGTACCTTATCGAAGGCTTTCACAAAGTCTAAAAATATTGTGTCTGTAGGTTAGTATCCGGATTTGTGTGAAGGTCATGCAGAAACGCTGCCAAACCCTTTGCGAAATCCGTGCTGTGAAGGATGAGAAAAATTTATTAGAGTCTAAGAATTTCATGATTTCTGTATAAATGACATGTTGATAATGTAAAACCTCATAATCATATGTGAGGTTTTACGTCCCAAAACCACCATATGATTATGAGGGACGCCGTAGTAGAGGGCTCCGGAAATTTAGACCACCTGGGGTTCTTTAACGTGCACCCAAATCTGAGCACACGGGCCTACAACATTTTCGCATCCATCAGAAATGCAGCCGCTGCAGCCGGGATTCGATCCCATGGTCTGCGGGTCAGCAGCCGAGTATATTAGGTCCTAAACCACCGCGGTGGGGCATAAATGACGTGTTCCATGATTCTGCAAGGTGTGCTTGTAAGGGAGATGGGGCGATAGTTAAGTGGGGAATTTTTGTTCTCTGATTTATAGATTAGAAAAAACTTTCCCGCTATTCACTCATGAGGTATGGTGCCTGTGGAAAGTGACTGAAAAAAACAATAGACATAAATAAGCAGCACTGATACCTTTAGTATTTTTTAACACTTCTGAGTGTGTTATTGACTCTACCTGAAGATGATAGTTTAAGATTGTCAATTAAAGACGAAATACCATCGACATTGAAACTTATCGCTGACACAGCATTAGGTGTGCTTGACGCTGTAGAAGGAAACTGTAAGCTAGCTTTGTTAGTGAAGACTGACGCAAAAGCTGCCTTCAAAATGTTAACGCACTCCACATCGTTCACCATTTCACTGTCTTCATTAATTAGAGTATTGCTGTTTTTATCTCGAGGATTAATCACTTGTCTGAATTTTTTTGGATTGTTGACCAGCATCCTCGGGTAGGCCTTCGTGAAAGTACGATTTTTTCGCTTGCCGGATAGCTGATAAGTAGAACTGCATGTTGTGATGAAGTCATACTTATTGAAAAAGGATAACAACCTGTCTTGAATAATGTCTTAAAAAACCTTTTGTAATGTCAAAAGTACTGATACGGGTCTATAAATTGGCATGTTATTTATGCTACCTCCTTTATAAATTTAAGTTACCCTTGCAGCTTCTAACTCTGCCAGAAACACACCTGTTGTCAGTACAAGGTTTATTATGTAAGCAAGCATCTTGGATAAAGTTAGACCTGGATATAACGAGATTGATGAATTCCTGAAAAAATTTGTTATAAAGAGGATTTTGTTATGTCCAGGTTCAGTATGAAAATTTGGAAGATAAACACACAAATTAAATAAAAAGAAGACTGAATGCAGAACTAGCCCGAAACTTCTATTTAGTAGTGAAAAACTGCATTACTATTGCGATAACAATTATATGGACACTCTTAACGGGTTTTGCCATCGCCGCCATGCTTGGTAAGAAGTCCAAATTGATAACATGCTCCGGCGCATCATAACTTTCGCGAGCGGGTGTAAGCACACAAGCCCTGCTGAAGCAGAGATCAAACAAGTCGGCCCATCTCTGTCTTCTGGAAGGTGCATAAGGTAACATTCTCCACGTGTTCGAAGTGCCATCGAATGCTCAAACAGAAAGGAAACCACCCGACTTGAACGAGCGTGAAAGAACGTGGGAGGGAGGGAGATCGCTTTGCAACAATGAACTTTGGCTTAAAGGGCGGTCACGATCGCTGGCGCACTTGCTATCTAGGCAAGTATCAGTGCAGTATCAATGCGAAAGGACTGCGTGAAAAGAGCACTTCTCCATGGAGCGGCCGTCTTTGCTCACACCAGCTTTTTGTAGGAGTTCTGGGAGTTCCGCGATATCAGATCCAAAAGATTTTGCTGCCAGCCTTACTTCGAATAAAATTACAAGTTTTTGCTATCGCGTTCATTGCATTACATTCGGCGTGCCGTCTTATTGTTTCCAGAAATAATCGGCTAATTGCGAAAGCTATGAGCCTGTGAACTCTCGGCACGGCGCTAGATGAAAGCGCATGACGAGCCGACCTCCGAAGTGCCGACCTCCGAAAAAACAAAAAAAGAAGCAAAAAGCTGGTTTGTGTGAGTGCTATATTAATTAGATTAAAATTGTTCAGTACTTCTTTTTGAACAAAACATGAATTAACCTGCTTTTTTCACTTGAGCTTTCAATATCTTAAAATCAACTTTTTTTAAATTTGCCCCATTATCAAAACATGAAATAACCTTGTTTTTCCACTTTAACTCTCAATATCTCAAAATCACTTTTTTTTGTCAAGTTAATTTGCCCCATTACCAAAACCACTTGGGAAAAAAACACAGAAAACTGGCTTTTTACCGGAATAAACCAAACGTCAATATGAAGCTACTTAGTCTGAACGCTTTACATGTAGTAGTTTCAGAAAAAAAATGTGTCAGGAAAAAGCCTTAAAATACATGGGAAGTATAAGTCTTACTCTGTGTCCTTAACTGCTGCCAGCCCGCTCCTGAACTGCATTTTACGTACTCCTGGAATTGCACCCAGACACATAGTGTCAGTTCCATCCCACAAATTGAAGGTGACAACTTTTGGTGCAACCAAGTAAATTATGTGCATTATTGATCTGGAAAAAAATAGGGCATTAATGGGCAGATATTATACCAGGATTCATTCAGAACTGTCACAAGCCATCTTGGCAAAATATGTGGTGATTGTAGGCAGGGGTTCTTTTCTGCAGAATTTGAAAGTAACTATTTTAATCACTGCTTCAAGTTTAAGAATTCTTAACCATAACATTGGCTCGACACTTGTTTTAAATATCTGCTGCTACATTATTCTTTTCTTAGAACTTGGTTTCAGAGGTAATCTAACAACAGTGTCCTATTTGAAATTACAAATCTTGTTCATTAAAAAATTAGGGTTCTAGTGTAAGAAGCGGCCTGGCTCGTTGATCCAATTCATGTTTGCAGGCAAAGCGTTGTTAGTGAATAAACTTGTACTGTATACAAGTGCAAGGTCATTGTTAACTGGTCTTAAATTGTTTTTTTTTTCTACTCTCCTAGAGCAACTGCAACAGTGGACGAACAGGTGATCAGATCTCGCACTTGCATCGCCAAGTGGAGGATGTGCGTGGAATCATGGCACAGAACATCGAGCGAGTTGTTGAGCGAGGTGACAGACTTGACAGCCTCCTTGAGAAGACCCAGGACCTCGAGCAAGCGGTCAGTTGAGCTCTGTGGAAATGTACAAAACTAGATTCAGGGCAGTCTGATAATGGTGATGCCATCTTGGAATGCTGGAGCACTGCTGTAAACCTTTCTGAGTTAAATCTCATTATAGTAGCCTGTTTTTAGAACAGTCTGCATAAACGTTGTACTTGCAGTTTGACCTTTGCTTATTGGAGGGAAACAGTGCAAAAGACCAGGCAAAGAAGGACACATACAACATTGTATGTGTCCTTTTTTGCCTGGTCGTTCATCTTCCGTGCTGTTTCTCTCCAATATGACATAATATGTCGTACCTACATGCCCAAGCAATCACTTTAACCTTTGCCCTGGCTTTATTGTGTAACTTTATATCGCAATTTGAAAATTTGGATGCAAAAATAGGAATTGATCAAGTACCCATTTCTTTCTTAGACACAACTTAATGAAACCAACCAACAATGAAACCAAGGAAAATATTTTTAGTCTTCAACTTTAGTGTAGTAATTTTCATATGAGTGTAAAGAAATTTATATGCACAAAAGGACAATTGCTGCCAGTACGGACCAAACCTACAACCTTGGATGACACATCTGATGCTCTACCAATTTAAATACGGTCACAGTTGTCCACCCACCCACTTTATTGGGCTTTTCTCTGTGTGTAAGCCTGGGAGTGTTAGCCAGCCCATGACGGTGAATTTGGACTGACATTAGGTGGCATACTTCTTTTTTTTTTTTTTCAGCCAACGTTGTGAATAATTTATTTTATTTATTAATGTAGACTAAACCACCCTAGTAGAAATTATCATAGGTAGGCCCCCCAAAAAAAACAGTTGTCCTGTCAAAACAATGAAGGACATTCACGCAGCTACACCTGCGACCATGAGGTCATAACATCTGATTTCGGTGACGTAGTTGTCCACCACCGCCACGGGTGTCTGTGCTAGCTGTTGCACACAGTGATAAAAAATAAATAAACAAGCTTCGAGCGAAATTTAAACCCAGGCATTCCGCATGGCAATCAAGTACTCTTCCAAAGAGCCATTCCAGCGCTTGAAACCCCCTATCAAAGAGACCCATACAGCCATCTCGTCAGATGTAATACTGTTGCATGGTAGAAGAGTAAAAGAACTATAAATTCCACTCAATGAAAATTGCATAACAAGTAGGTGGTTCAAAGCTTACCACCCATTAACCCAATATACAGTGCTCAGCCATCAATAAAGTGCCCCTAATGCCTTAATGATGTATGGTGGGTACTTCTCATCTTCACATAATGATGGATAATGGCATAGGGGTTAACCTGCCACTGTGGTCCAGTGGCAAAGGCACTCTGCTACTGACCCCAGCAGGTCAGGGGATCGAATCCTGGCCGCCGCGGATGCATCTTTGGTGGAGGTTAGAATGCTTGAGGCCCGTGTACTTAGATTTAAGTGCACATTAAAGAAAACCAGATGGTCGATTTCTGGAGCCCTCTACTATGGCGTCTCTCATATGGTGGTTTTAGTACATTGAATGCCAACAATTATATTAATAAAATAATAGCATATGAGGTATGTTCCGACTTAACAAAATTATCATTGATTGTTCAGTGGGTAACTCGCTGGCTGTAGCGGCAGAAGTTGCCCAAAAAGAGGTTGCCACTCATCCAGCTTTTTGTGACTTTGTTACATGTTTTACTCGGGCCTGGCACGCTTTTTCAAAGACCTGGAGAGTGCTCTTTTTGTCCACTTCAATTTCTGTACAATTGTATCATATTTACTATACTACAGTCAAATATTACAAATACTTTCCTCAGCTTCATTGTCTCTTTTTTTAATTGTATATTTTATAAGATGGTTTCACATGATGTTTTATAAAATATATTCAAAATTTCTTTGCAGTAGAAAACATGAGATGTTAAAATTATATTTTGGTTGACTTTTACTGCAGAAGCTTACATTTAACATGACTGTAGGTTGCAGTTAGTCAAATGGCAAATTAGACTAATTTTGTCTGCCTTTGCAAAAAGATCTGTTGTCATGTAGCTGGTCTGCACCTTTTTTAGGCAAACCAGCTACCTGTCTCTCCATAAAGGCATCATTTACAAACATTCAGAGTTTGCAGTATTTTGCAAGATTCTTCGGTGTGGTGATGAAATCTTTGGCACTTTCATGTTCGCTGTTCCTATGGCTCCACCTGCTGGTCAAGCATACATAATCGATGCTACAGTTCTTATACAGAACAATACACTTTTTTTTTTTCACTTTAATAGGTTATACATGAGGTATTCTCTCTCTTTTTTTTTAGTTAATCTTACAATTCAAATAAAAAAATTATACAAAAAAATTATGTATATACAGTAAAATCTCGCTGATGCGATTACAGTTGATGTGAATTTCGCGATGATACAAATTTTAAGGTTGCTTCAAATGGACTACATTATAAAAAAATACGCCGTGATTCGGTGTTATATGAATGGTTTCCCCAGCAACCGCGGATGATAAGAATGCGCGATTGACTGCTGCATGCGAGCGGCGCAACAAGGCTTTTTTATGAGAGGAAGGCCCGTTCGCACTTGGCCTCAAAGAGAGCGAATGCGGCAAAACAAAACTCACCGGAATTTTTCTCGCTTCGGCACCAGAAAAGTGGCCGGGTAACCATGCCACGAGACGACGCGAAAAAAGTCTGTCTGAGACAAAGTTTGCCGCCTTGCGATAGCGGATCGCCTTTCTGCAATGGCTTTGGCTACACCAACTGTGCTAGCTCTTGAACCACGTGATGTAAACAATCAGCCGTACATTCAAGATGGCGGGGCAAAGGCGTCAGCAGTCCCCGCAGGGTCGTCTGCGCAAGCAGGCGTTTGGTGTGTAGCGACACCACAGACCTGAGCTAACAGGGAGCTTCGACCTCTCCCGCGTCTAGTCGTGTGTGGCTGAGCCGTGACTGGGGAAAAGAAAATCCTGGAGGTTGAGTCGACACCGGGCGATCAGACCTTTAAGGCCCCCCCCGGCAAAAGCAACACGCTTCTTTGGCCCCGACGTCCCGTAGACTGCACCCCTGGGCGGACCCACCCAGGGGAAATCGCCAGTCGCCTTTTCCTATCTCTCTACCCTACAATCTCTGTTTACTTCCAATTTTCTCGGCGGCAAGGGTTAACCTTGTGCATATAGCCTACCTTGGTCTAGGCGCATTGGGTTATGGCAGTGTTGTATGGCTGGGGTCTGCAAGCTTTCAGCATCCCCAATCTTGCAGCGTGCTTTTGTTGGGCTCCGTGGTGGGTGGCCATCAATGCTGCTGAATAAAAATAACACCGGCATGCATAGAGCATTCCCCCTACTTAACGATCGTACCGGCTTGAAGCGGGTACACACCGATGACATAAATTTTTTTCCACCAGCCAATAGAAACATTTCCTCACTTCCACGTCGTTCGCTGTGCGAAAACGGGAAAGCAAACCAGGACCGTATCTCCTTGCGTAGTTGCCAGTTGTCTTACCGAAACTTTCGGGGCTGGGTGCAAGGTAACCAAAATGGCTAGCAGAGACCTCCTCTTCGAAATTCGGGACAAAGAACAATTTAAAAAGCTAGACGGCCTCTCAACTTTCGGTGGCATACCGATCACCGTAACACCACACAGATCAATGAACATAACTCACGGAGTGGTATCTGACGCAGACTTACTTGACCTGACCGAAACTGAACTTTTGGAGGAATGGTAGAGCCAAAACGTGACTAATGTACAGAGAATTATCATCAGAAGAGATAACCTAGAAGCCCCAACGAAACACCTAATACTCACGTTTGCTTCCAGTAAACTGCCAGAATCCATTCATACAGGGTTTAGGAAGACCACTCTAAGGCCATACATACCAAATCCTCGTCGTTGCCTTCTATGCCAGAGGTATGTCCATGGCTCTAAAAGCTGTCGTGGTCGCCAGACTCGTGCACATTGTGGAGTCCTGGGCCACATGTCTTAGAACTGCAAACAACCGCCACACTGTGTAAACTGTGCAGGAAACCATGCCGCATATTCACGCTCCTGCGCATACTGGAAGAAAGAAAAAGAGATAATTACATTGAAGGTGAAGGAGAACATTTCATTTAAGGAAGCACGGCAAAGAGTCTCGCCATTCTATGGACCTACATATGCTGATGCGGTGTGTCGGGGGGCACTGCTGCACCAGCCCTCGTCACTCCTTCGGCCCGCGCATATCGAGCCGGCGGTTGTGGCACCTGCCCCCAAGGCATCTGTAGTTCAGACTACTCCGCCTACTCCCGAACAGACTGTAGGCTCCAGGGTCCTCAGGTCTCAAGGCCTCGCCTCACCAGCTGAGGCCCAGAATTCGAACTACCGGCGCGCACGTGTCGGCATCCAGTGCCTCTGAGAAGGCAATGGATACGCCGGTACCCTTGGTGCCAAAAGAGTGGCGTGGCTCCTTGGAGCACGCCAAGAAAACAAAAAAGCAGATAACAGGGCTTGATAGCCCTGTGACTTGAATTCAAACTCCCCGCCTAAACAGCCACTCTATTTTCATACACACAGCACTACTTTACATTCATCATGAACACTCAAATTACACAATGGAATGTCAGAGGCCTTCTCAGAAACCTTGACGACGTCCAAGAGCTTTTACACGAACACTCACCAAATGTGCGGTGTGTACAAGAAACACGCCTAAATTTAAAACACACCAACTTTCTCCGTAAATATGTTATTTTCTGAAAGGGCCATGATGATGCCATGACATCATCCAGAGGTGTTGCCATCATAGTGAATCAAGGGATTGCAGGCACACACTTTCAACTCCGACCATCTCTTGAGGCAGTGGCTGTTCAAGCTTTGCTTTTCAACAAACTGATCACAATTTGTACTCTTTACGCACCTCCGAGCTATCACCTACAAAAAGATGACTTCCAGTCCTTAATAGATGAACTTCCGGAGCCTTATGTTCTCTTTGGAGACTTGAATGCGCATAGCAGGCTATGGGGTGATTCTCATTGCAACGCGCGAGGCTGACTGATTGAACAGTTCCTT